TAGATCTTTGTTATATCAAGAAGTGACAATGACGCTTCGATACATCAACAGCGATCACGAAACTGTTCCATTGTAATTCAGGTAACAAGGCGGACGGAAGTTAAAGGATGCCGGTTCTCTACGTCGCTCTCACCTCCTGGATACTAAGGTACGATATGCTTAAAGTGTCATACGAGAAACGAAAAGCGAATAACATAACTATAAGTTATTTATGATTATTAATGATAAGCGCAGGAACAATGGAAAGTGCGGAGAACATTTTTCCATGAATTTATTTAATAAATTAATTGGTTTTTATACATTGTAACTTGATATTATTAGAAAAGTATAATAGATCGCGATTTAATCATGCAGAAGTGATTAAAAGCCACGAGAAGAATTTGTTTGTCCCCTGCAACTTTTTTTGGCAAGTCTCGTGGGTGTTCGGCGCGGGGGCGACGCGACGCGGCGTTGCGGGTAAATGGCAGCCTTTGCGCATAATCCTATGACCCCTTTAGCGCTTTAGGATCCTTCGGAAAGGATACACTGGATGCGCGCTATCAATTCCACCTTGCCCGTCGGCATTACGAAGGACTCCTGGCTCGATTCCAACGCACGAACCAGCAGGAGCTGAGCCAAAGCTCCATCTACGACTTTTCGCCGATCCTTATTGGCGTCGTATCGGTCCGTCGCGATGCCTCGCATTCCTTCGTCCTCCATAACGCTCCTCGCGTGATTTACATCGGGCCTAACTTCCCGACAGACGTGATCGTGAGAGCCCCTTTGATTCTCGTCCCGCGGCGGTGTATCTACTTGGGAATCGAATCGATCGGTCAGCCGACAATAGAGAATCCGTTTACTCGCTCGGGGAACGTAGATGTTGAACAGTTGCATCGACACACGCCAAGATTTGTTTGTGGTTCGTATTGCGCCTAATATGTCCGGTTTTGCTTAGAATGGTGCCACGGAAAACGTGCGCTGCATGTGTGCTTCAAGTTTGAGAGAAGAGGGTAAACGGATAGCAGAAATCTTCCATACAATTTATCCAATGGTAAAACATTAGATGAACATACGTATAAACGTTAGATCCCATTTCCTTTGTTTTCTACACTCTTGTTTCAAAAATGGTATTGTTCGTTGTCGAAGGCCGCGATGTTGGGTCGTTGTCCAATTATAAATCCTGATGACTTCCTTCGCGTGAGTCATTGGTAGTGGCGAATTTTCGAATCGGTAGTCGAGCCTTTCTCGTCGTGCTATGCTTCTTCTCTATTGTACGAGGAAACATTTGAGAATCGTTGTCGGATATTTATCGCGCAGGAAGTTTACGAGCTCAGTATTTAGAAGAATAAAGTTCGCACTTGGAAATTTTTAGAACGATCGTGAATCATTCTCTAAATGCAGAGGCATGAGAACAGGAAAATATTTTTTAGCAGATGCGATTATTGTACAGTTGATCAGAATGAGTCTTTCAGTATAGTACGTATGTATATGTCAGCTTGGACTTGTTTAACCTTGAAATTGGGGTTGCTGAGAAGGTCGACTCGATCAAGTCGTTGCAATAGAACGTCAGCGAAAGATACTTGAGCGAAATAGTCTATTTGAAGCCAGGCGGCCTAAGTAGGTCAACTTACTGTTGCTTTGAAATGCTCCCATGTATGTTTTGCGTGGCACGCAGACTGCGCTTGATTCTCAGTCAGCTCCGTTTTAAACCATATTTTATAGTCTAGTATTACAAAACCGCAAACATCGACAAATTTCATCATTTTCTTTTATTTATATCATTAATATAATTATCATAAATTTGTTTAAAATGTCTATAAATTAAGTCTATGAACTCAACTTGATTGATCAATTATTTAAGACGTGTGCACTAAGTGTTAGTAGTCGTTAGCTTAATCTGTGTAATCGCGATTAAAAATACGCTCTGCTCACGGTAATTAAAGGATCAACGATTTCAATGATCTTATCGCTTCAGGAAGACATCGAAACTTTGTAAATCAATTTAGCTACCGCTTAATAATCACGAGGCACAGCAGTAGCTGCTGATATTTATCTAGTATCTCATGCATAATTAAGCTCAGTCTGCTAAGTTTAATCGGTTTCAATTATCTCGAGAACTATAATTAGATCGTAATAATGCGATCCGATGGAGTTCTATCCAGGAAGACGAGTTACTTTAAGTGTCTCTTAATTCGTGATAACTTTATTATTCGGTACGTGCAAATTAAATCACTTGGTTCCGCATTGAAATGATTATTTGCAGTAATTGTTCCGTTCCAGTAAATACACAGTTTTAACGTGCAAGTAATTAGAAATCAGATCCTTTAATTGTTCGGAGTCGTATGTGTTACAAAATCTCGAGATTTGCTTTCTCTCTTTTTATCGCCGAGTAATAAAACAAGGAGTGAAAGTAAGACTATCTTCAACAATTATAACAGGTTTCTAATTCGAACTTGGCGATAAACAGCATTAAATCAGAATTTCTATTGGAGTTTCACTTTTTCCATTGCAGTTACGTCACTTGATCAATAGAGTCTTTCATCTTAATCTGTTACGTTTCAAGTGGTTATCATCTACGTCGAATCTAATTTAATCGCAGCACAAAACTTACTGTTGCAAATCAGAAACTGAACTTAAGGCCAAATCTAAACAGTCGGTTTCATATGGTTTACAAGCACAAACGTTCAGACATTAATCTTCCACTATTTTTATGCAACGTTTGACAGCGATCGTTCGATGGAGAGAAGAAACAGTTTCCTGTTTGCGGTGATTTATAAATTCGAATAATTATTGGCAATTTCAGTGGAGAACGCGTGCTGAGATCGCGTCAGCACGACCGGGGAACCAGTCAGGAGAGACGATACAAGCGGAGCCATCGTCGATCGCCGAGCAGCAGCCGGCAACACGGGCACCGTGATCGCGAACGTGATCGCGTGGCCCATCCAACTTCCTCCCGACGTCCAAGGATCTACCGACATCATGCCTCGACGTCCACCAGCCAGGACCGGCACAGGCATCGTTCGCCGTCCTCCAGAAGTCAGGTGAGTCGAATGGTGCCGACAACCGGCTAAAATATTGCGTATTCTGTTCGAATGCATCTCGTTTCGCTTACCGTTTCATCACATCGAACTGTGATAAGAAAATAACGCTGATCATTCGGCTGGAAAAGGACCACCTCGCTGATCATCCCTCGTACTTTTACCCCGTTATCCATCCCTTCAACTATCATGCTATTGCCGATATACTGTGGTACTCTATCTATTTATTAGCCAAACATATTTTGATTGATTTAAGGGTTAAACGAAAAACTTTTATTAATAATTGGTACAATTAAATACACATATATAAATGCTGACGTAATTAACAGCAATTGGTATCTCGATATTATCGCAAAGGTTACTACCAACTCTCACAATTAGTCAAGCTTGTGGAATCTTATTGCTAGCCTCTTTCCCTTCCGCGAATTTTCAAACTTGCATCGTGCAAATATAGCATCACCCGATGAATCATCCCCCGCTTGTAAACGACTCGCTCTCGAATCCCCGCGTCTCTTACTATTATGTCGGTATCCCCGAGAAGCAAGGATATCCGTGTTTCCCTCCGCACATCTCGTTCGATGGATCGCGTTGCGTGATATAAATACGCAGGCAATGCGCAAGAAGCAAAGAGAAACGAATCGATCGGAGAAGAGCAAAGAAGACGGGAATGAAGTGGGAAGAAAAAGAGATGCCGATGCATCAGCGGCAGTAGAAGAAGAGAATGAACGAGGCGATCGGTACGCGTGGCGCACGTGATCAGTCTCTGGAGAAGACCGCGACGCAACTAGCGCGGCGACGCGTGGTACCCGGAGCGAATGCCGGTGATTCTTCTTTCTTAGCCGGCGTCGGCTATTTTCGACCGGCGACTATTTTCGAGGGGGACTCGTCACGCGGTTTAGCCGCGGTTTTAGTGCGAGTTTGCGCCAGATGGCCAGCGCAACACTGTCGTCCTCCGCATCGTCGACGGGAAACGTACCGGCAGGGAAAGCCGGTTCATCGCGAGCCGAGACGCGCGCGCGATCGAAACGAGATCCTCTCGACCCGATTCCGAGGAGTTCGTGCAGAACACGAAACTTCAGATCGCGAAAGTTCCAGCTGTACTCAGAGACGCCGACGATCCAAGCTCCTCCCACGTACCGAAGGGTACCACCGTTCCTCCAGTGGTTGACAAAGTGTTCGATAGAATATGTTACCGAATGTATGGCATTTCTAATACAATTTCGAGAACGCATCTTTGGTAGTATTAGCACGGCCGCCGATTAAGGTGATCCAAGTTGAAATCGCGCGAGCCACGCAGTATCATCCCAACAAGCTGACCCAGAATTGATCGCAACCTGGATTTAGAAATACACGTTGCTCTTGGCAAGACGCGCCCATGAGAGGGGTATGAGGACCGCGCAATCCCACAATTTGAAATCCGTCGGCCTGGTATCCGCAGCGGAGTGAATGGACACAGTTATCACCCTGGATCACTTCGGAGATTGGTGCGTACGCGTCGACGGCGACGTCGGTCTGACTGACAGCGGCCTACCCTCGGCATCGTCTTCATTGTCGTCGACGATGGCCGGACAAGAAATGAATCTGTTGATACCGGGATACCAGGTGTCGTGGTGGCCCAAACAGGAGGAACCTCTGGTGCAGCATAGAAGTAACGTCTTAGAGTGGGCCAGGGAAGTGGACGTGAAGCTTGACGTGACGCCTGAGTCTAATGATACATCGACGTCCGAGGTAGCGAACTAAAGAAACCAGATGGCATGACCAATAGCTAAATCCTGTATCTGTGGTTTACCGAAGTGTCGATCGATAATCGGTTGATAACGACACACAGGTGTGCACACGTTTACCGTAACAGAGCTTCTAATCACTTTCGATTAAAATACCCTTTTTACGTCTCTCCTGTACTTCGCATTGTGTTATAATACCGACAATCTTCATCGTTCCTCCCTCGATTGTCGACAAGCGACTCCAAGTGCGGTGAACAACCCGCGACTCTACAAAACGACGAAAGATCATATTTTATGTTGTCTGAAAGTTCGGGGTATGGCGTCGTTGACGATATTAGGGTAAAACTCACCCAAACTAGAACTTAGGTGAACACGCGAATCGCCTACGCGTGTACTTGTTTCCGTTGGCGTTTTGCCACGCGGAGCAGCAACGGTGACACGAAACGAGCCAATGAAGCAGGCATCGAGTAAGCGCTAGTTAACCAGCTACTCGGTTTAACATTTAAACGCGCCGCCTGATCGCTGGCCCGCTCCTCTTACGAGGCGCACGCGTTTCACGCTTCTCGGTTATATTTGGTACGCGTGACCACGGTGAACGTGCATGCGAACGTAGAACCGTGGAACACGTCGAGAACCACCACGATTCCCCTTTTTTTTATTACTCCTTCGTCTTCTTATCTTCGCTCCACTAACTTTTTACTATTAGCTCATGCGGCTAGGATGTTACTAAGAAATTTTAATGACGGTAGCACTGAATCTTTATATGTAACATTTTGTAACTGAAGAGTTATATGACTCTAAATCTCTTTTTATCTGTTTCTTTTACTATGTTTCACTATACTCAAGTTTATCATCAAGCAATTAATTATTTTTCTTTTTTTATGGGAATAAATAGTCGTGGTCTCTTCCGTAATTTTTTTTTAAGACAAATAAGAAGAGATATGATAGAGGAGACGAATGTGCCGCGATGTGTGACTCCGCGTGAAAATTTGCAGCTTCTAAATCTAATCTAGACACTACGAAAAGGTCGTAAAAATTTAATCGAGAACGAATACGTAACATTTTCCATTTGGCTATGGAATTGATCCAAAGTCCTATATTAACCTTTATCAATAACCACGATCACCGATAAAAGCGGACCAATCTCTATTTTAAAAATTCCGAGATGAACAACCGAGCTCCTTCCTTCTCTTATCAGCTAGATAAGCATAGACCTGACGATAAAAAATCGTCGGGAGAAAAGCAGATCAAAGTACGTCACTGTTTGATCGCATGCACAGAAGTCTCGTTCTTTCTCGGTGACGCGTTGAACTCATGCTCTCGATCTTACAATTGATCGAATTCCTAGTTCATAATAAAACAGTCTCGGTGCCGGCCTTAGACTCCCTCAAGGCGTTTCGCCGTCCGAAACATCGTGTCGTAAAACTTCGTCGATCGAGCATCGAACAGTTTCGAGCGATTACCGCCGCGAGTATTTTCGCGCGGATTATAACCCGTCGTGTTTAAACCGTGGACCTCTGACGATGCACGAAGAGAGAGACGGCTTTCGGCGGTGCCAGGAAAGTTTTTGAAAAACGTGGGCGACTCGCGAACTACGACGTTATTTCGTAGCGCGGAACGTATTTATACCGCTATTTTGTGTGAACCCGCGACGACTTCGATATCATCGAATCTACGGCCTTGAAGACAAGAGGCAGCTACATTTTATTAATAGTCCCACGAACTTCGCTACTAATCTGCTGACGATTGTACTATGCTGTTTCGAGGCTTCGAGTTTGGGGTCGATCGTTGGGAAATAGCGGTTCCAATTTTTGTTCTCATTATTTAGAGGAGGGATGTATTAGTGCATCGGTTTATAAAGTGTACGCAACGCTGGTTATTAATCAAGATACGGTGTCAAAATTTCAGATAAGAAATAACACTAATACTCGACTATATTTCTAAAGAATGTATTATATATATTCGTATGATGAGTTAGTTTGTCGGTTAGATGGTTGAGAAATTATGTCAATGACGTTCGATATATTGATAACGATCTCACAATAGTCGGTTTGAAATATCTGCACTTTTTTTTAAGGTAGCTTATCTGATATTAATTCTCATATATATTCTTCTCTTTTGCTGCTTCCCTTCTTCAATTTGGCGGTTCCACTCGACACAGGATTCTGACGCGTAATCGAAATTCGTTTCACACTCATAACAGTAATCAGATTTTCCCACATTTCTAATTACTGATCGTTCTTCAACTGATGATAAACTTTATCATGCCAAGATAGCTCTTGATCTTCACTGATTGCACTTCAACTTCAGAATTCTGCCGATGGTGCAACGATCTCGTTCGGCACTGCGTAGCATCCGACTTATGAGCTGTTCTAATTCCTCACGATATGTATCCCCGGCATCGGTGTAGATCGGAATTTAATCGTGCGGGACTACGAAAGTTCTTGCTCTCGTTCGCACTACCTACGATTTCGTAATTTCTATATGTGTCAAGGTGCGCGCCGTTTAAACAGAGAAAGAGAGTCGACACCACGCACGCGTCCGCGAAAACGAGATCCTCCCGTGCCTCCCGGTGAACCCCTTTCGTCGACGATTCACCGTAAGCTTCATCAACGACCTCTCCGTGCACCAGGAAGCAGACTACGTTGCCAAGACCCGATCCTGAGCGTAGCGTGCTGATCTCCATCATTCCGAATAAGCTTTGGGACAAATTTACGTAATACTCTCTCGCACTCTCGATCTTTCTTCTTCCCTTTTCCGTCGCGTCTCTCTCCCACCTCTTTCTCCGTCGTTTCTCTCGTCGTTCGCTTTCGAACGAAAGAAAGAGAGAACCCCGGGACGAAGGGAAAGAAGAGACCGCGGGAACGGTCGCTCGGAGCCGTGCTAGCTCACCACCGCTGCCCGGTATTTTTAGTGCAAGAGTATTTGGCGGGGAGCACCGAATCGCCTCCTCGTCTTCGTGAACGGTCGACGTCGGCCGTCGTCTCCGTGACCGCCGTTTTGCTTGATCGTGTGCCTCTCTTTAGTGCCGTCCTCGGCGTCCCTCTTGCGCGATCGACTATGCTCGCACCTCCGGGCGAGTGATGCACCTGCGGAACCAGGGGCGCGTTGTCATTGCCCGCTCGCTGGATCATTCGAATCTCTCCATTCTTCGTGCTATTCTTTATTCGCTTTATATACGTGCGTGAGATTCCTCCAATTTGTTTCGATTTATACGCCGCGCGAGGAGAATCAGGTGAAATCCGACGGAGCGACCTTGAAGAGGCTATCTCGATCATAATCGGTTCTGGGAAAACGTGGAATAATCTGTGACGTGTACAGAGATCGTGCAAGAAGCGATTCAAAGTGCGAAAACAAACAGGATTAAGAGGAAGCTGCCGCGTGAAATAATAAGTTTGCCAAGTCGATTTTAGCCAGATCCAAGGTGGTGTCTCTTTTAGTAGCTTAAGGTCGTCCGATCGAAGTTGAAGCATCGTTACCATCCGTTAACGCGCGGTTAAGTGTTCCCCACTCGGGGATAAAAGAATCGTTACTACCTTTCGAGGACCGCAGATTGATCTTTTATGGACTGTGTGATTAATACAGACATCATTTATGATACTCAGTTGCTATGAATAATAACAAACAAAATTGGTCATCGTAACACGTTTCACATTGTCACGTATAATTTATTATATTGACCGGTCGATACGAATGTCGTTACCGTTCGATCGGGCGGGACGATAGCTTTCTTGACACTATGCATATTTGAAGCTGGGATTCGGCAGGTGTCTCTTGTTTACAGATAAAGCGTTTAAAGATATTGTATAACGGATGATCTCGTAAAAACTAGTACTTTGGACTCCGTTCAGTCACCGGTCGTACGGCCAGCGGGATAAATCGATCGAACCGCGCGATCGTATTGATCATTATTTATAATGGCTGGGCATTATAAGTAATGAGCTGTTATTCATTTGGTCCATGACAGATATACTGAGTTGCGATGTTCATCTTCGCACCACGTGACAATATGTCGACGTCTCGTCAGGACTCGGCTGGCCGACGAAGTCGGTACGCGCGATCCTCGACGACCACCAGCGTTACGCAGCTTCTCAGCGACTCGTGTTCGAATCTCCTACAACGTCTGACCACCAGGGTACGCGGAATGTCGACGGTGAACGATAATGTAGCCAGTAAAACGGCGGCGGCGAGGCGATCGCCGATCGGCAGTCGCCTGAACGGCACCCGCTACGAAGACAAGTACAGCATTCTAGACAAGTATTCGAGAAAGAAGCAGCAGGATCAGGTCGATCGCTCGACCAGAGATTATTTTCATCGCACGCGCGAACGAGATCACAGCTATTATCGACGCGAAGACAGTCCGTTCGTTCGCGACGAAAAGACTCTAGAACCTTCAATGACCCGTACCGTGGTCAAGAGTCCGACCAGCGTGGTACTATCCGAAAAAGCTTACCCTTACGTGAAGCCTTCGACGATGAAGGATTTCAAACGCGACAAAACGCCTGGCTATCATCGTATAGACAAACAAGCTTTGTTAAACTCGGACACGTATCGGAGGTACGGGAGACATAAGTCCGGACACGCGGAGACGCGTACTCGCAAAGTGCGGCCGTACCGAAACGGCAAGAGCGAACAATTGGATTCAGTCGCCCTTAAGTTATCTCGTTCCGGAAAAGATGCTCTGGCGTCGAAGGAAGGAACCAAGAACGACGATCCTGATAAGACCCCAACCGGCAGTGTCACTAAGGAGAATAACAACAACAATAATAACACGATTCTCCAAGCGACCGACACCGACGAAACTGATCCAGCGATTTCAGAGAGAGCCGCCAAGCGAAAGGAGATTCAGAGTTTGATTTTGAAGTACGCCGCGATGGAGGAGACGTACAGTGAACTGGCAGCGGGTGGCCAAGTGAAGATGCGACCCAGCACCACGGACATAATCGCCAGGAAATATAGGAAAAACGAGCGGACGAACGCGTCGAAGAGTGCGTTGGACGCGAGTGTCGTTAATAACAACCAACCAGACACGATCCAGCTCGCGATTGTAAGTTGTCGAACCGGGATCAATGGTTTTTCTTGTCTCTATCATCCGCGACCGCTATTGACGGTGAAGGTTGCTTCTGTTTCATTAAGCGAAACGTTTTTGTTGCTGCTGTCGTTTGTCCCGTCTCCTTTTATCACCGCAGTTCATGCGTTCCTACTCGTTAACCATTCGATACGACCGGCGAAGGACGGTGACAAAGTGACCACAAATGGTCGACCGTTGACATCAGTGAATTCGATGATTACTTTGGTTCGATAACTTTTGTGTCCATTACGTCATCAGCAATTGAGGAGTTCGTAACCCTTGCCAGAAACGGCGAGTCACGAGGTTCACAATTTTGTGATTTAATTGGAGACAAGCCTCTTGTTATATGATTGTTAATCACCGATAACTCGTCGATTGTGTAATACTCGATGAATAAATTGCTGACACGGATTTGAACGTGAAAACAGAAATAAAGAGAAATTGCCGATTATTATTTCTAGCTGTCTGACAAGTATAAAGTAGTTTTGCCAATTGTGCTGTTCACGTCACTGGTCACTGTCAGTTCGTTCATGTCGAAAGGGTAACATTTGTTTGATTGGTATTTTGTGCGTGTTTCAACGAATCGCAACTAATATCGACATCCATGTCTGAGTAATATGTTAGGAAATAATTACATCCCATATGTAATGAATCATCGCCATACGTGAGAGTTGGTATATTTCCAGAGTCTACTGCGATTTTGAATTATCTTATCGAGAGAATTATTAGGCGAGTATCGGAAGTGAGACTTGAATTCCACTTATTGTATGATACTTCGAACGATGTTTGGAGGACCTTCGACATTCGGATTGAAATAGATTTTATTGGAGTTCTAATGTTAATACGCCTCCGTTGCCACGTCGTGTCCTTTTCACACGACTTCCCTTTCGTTCTTATTTGAATCGAAATTAAAGTAAGTTTAAAATTGCATTTTGAAATAAGAATTGTATGACACATTCGTCTTTCGAAGTATCGTTGGATTTTTGCACGGAGATAATGAAATCGCAAGGATTGCTGACGAGTTATGTAACTGAAGTTTTTCCGACCGACTGACTTACTGCGATTGCTCTGTGACGGTGCGATTAAAAATTCCGAATCTCACGCTCGATGTTCGACTAATCCGAAATAATTACACGCTGGCACCGTGTCAATGCTCGATCGAAGCTGCAATTACTCAGCAAACTGTTATCGAGTCTGACAACATTGCAACATCTTTCGTAGAGCTGCCGCAATGAATTTCTTTCAAAATTCATCGTTTCTCGTATTATTTTGAGAACTATTGATAGAGTATCACGGTTTTGGTTAATTGACTTCCCGAATATCATTTCCATCAAAATTCTGCGTTCTCGGGCTCGGTTAATGATGCATCAGGTTGGTTCGAATCCGCGAATGGATAAGATAGGCACGAGGTGCCGATCGAATCGATCGGCATTGCCTCGCGCTCCACGGATGCATCGCGATGATCGATCAGATTGCATTGATCTATCGTCGCGACGGCGTTCATTTGGCGCAGTCACGTAAGTACTCGAAATATCTGCAGATGATCGATCATTAACAAAAAGATAGACAAAAATCCAATAGACCCGAGCGTGTTAGAGTAAAAGAATAATAGATATAACGTGTGCGCTCCAAAGAAGCTGTCTAATAATAATTTCTTATTGGAACGTTTTTATTTATGAGTTTAAAAAATTTTGCTTGATTACTTCAAGCATTCGATTTCATTCTGATTCAATACCTAAGTCGAGACGGCTTCTTTATTGCACGGAGTGACTAACTTTAACACGCGTATACGAGTGTAGGAAAAAACGAAATCTAAGCTAAAAAAAAGTATTATTAAATTTAAGTAACAGAGTTAGATATATTTATATCTAAGAAAAGAGGTAACGGAATGAGAGATAGAGATCACATATTAATAATAATCATATCATAATATCGTAATCGTACATATATAAAAAAATGAAAAAAAAAATGTTCGCTTTGTGCCGATGGTAAAATTCGTAACCGCAACTTTCTGACTTGGCAAACCATTTTGCCCTCTCCCCTTTCTCTCTGATTGTTGGGTTACCATCTCCGTTGTAATGGAATGGAATGGAATGGAAACGGATATGGCACACGGATTGGTCACTATGGTCGACTGGGCGCTCGGATCGGGTGGTTCGATGATGACCGATGACGATGATGTATCCCCCTACTTCCTCCCCACCGACACACTCGTACGTTCGTCCGTGCTTACACACGTCCTCTACCGCGTGTTACACGGGTCTCCGCCCTCGTGGTGGTGGTGGTGGATGACGGTGTGTGCGGCGATCGGTTGACGCGACGGCCCTGGATGTGGACCTCTACCTACCTGTGGATCAACGACTACGTCTGATGGCCAACAACGACGACCCTCTGGTTCAACACTATGACGTGGATCCGGTGCTCTATCTCTTCTTCACGAACACTGAACGCACTGGGGATCGATCGTCGGACCAACCAATGATCCGGACCACCAAACGGTGCACTCCACACCACTGATCGGGTCCGCTCTCTTGGCACGCGCCGCTGATACCGATTCCGCCGGCCCATATGTAGAGCCCACGACCGCCCTCCGTCGAGGACGACGAAGACGGCCACCTTGTTTACCAATCCGGCGACATCCTGGCAAATAGATGTTCGTGAATACGTGAATACACTCATTGTAGTAGATTTAAGCAAGCCTCAGATCGATTGGTCGATCGATCGATCGGATCGGTTACCCACGGTATCTGCCCATGGTCTCTCTTTGCCTCTGCTCGCCTCTGCTCACCTCTCTCCCTCCCTTGCTCGTTCATCTCCTTATTCATTATTTCTTTCGTTTGTTTCCACGTTCGATTCTTCCTCGCCTCAAAAGAAATGGTCGATTTTAATGATCCCTGCATCGATTCTTGTTCCAGGCTCAGGGTAGCTTCTGTTCTGATTCGCAAAGTGCCTCTATTGCTCCGATTGTCTATTCAGGCTTATTATAGACCTTGAATCATTCATAGTTTAGATTTTTCAGCTTTACAATATTGAGTTTCCTCAACAAAATAGAAGCTGTTGACGCACAGAACTTCTACTAGTCTGTGCATATACCCATATTCTTCGTATAAGCTAACATTCTTAAAGCTTTAGTCATACTCACATCAATATTATTTAAATCGGAATGTTTAATTTTCTAAGTTACGTTTTGAACGTGTTTCCTATCATCAGTCTTAATCTTAGGTACATTAGACGCCTAAAGAATTTCAGAAATAGTAAACAGGCACGGAACTTCTTCGGCTTACATTTTTTCTAAGAATACCGGATTACGTACAATACCTTTTCTTAATAATAGACGCTATTTCGAATCAAAATTTCTCGTCCCTTTATTGCGCATACGTTTCTACACACGATCGAAGGTTAAAAGCCTTGAGCATAGAGAGATAGAGAGGCGAAGGAAGGAGGAGAGACAAAGAGAGGCCAAGCTTGCGCTATCTCCTCGAACACGTCTTCTTCGGGATAACGTGTTCCTCTGTCTTTGAACAGGCTCACGAGGACATTCGACATTCAGCTCTCGTTCACCCCGATGTTTGCATGCAACTTTTGCAATCGCGAGAGCGATCAGCGAATATATCGCGTTCACATTCTAAATCTTCATCGGGCCTCGATAGTCAATGTTACATGTCCTCCAGCTGCCGAATTTTTACGATTAGGGTACCTCGGCCTTTAGGAGAGCAGCAGTTCCGATCGATAAAAACGTAAAGCTCTATCGATACCGTTTTTTTCACTTGAATCATACATCCGTTCACGACGTACGGCGTACAGAACACGATCGACCGAACGTTCGACCGGAAGTGCATCTACATTGCTCTCTAGTTCCTTCGAAATTTATTTTAAAATAATTCAGTTCATTCTCGATAAAACTAAAATTTGTTCATCAACGATGGGAGGCGTTCGCTCAACACATGTGAATGCTATCAACGATATTATGTAGAGAATTAAATTAGAATAGAGCAACATAGATGATCTTTAAACGAACGCGAGGTCCTTTATCTATTCGGGCACTTATCTATTTTTTTACATTGCAGATAAAGTACTGGCCACCCTAGGAGAGGGTACTTTTGGAAAAGTTGTCAAGGTTAAGGACTTGCAAATGTAAGTGGCAGTTCACATAACTACTACGTAGGTGACCTACCTTGAACCTGCGCTTCTCTTTACTCATCTTTCTATCCGTGTCCCGGCTCCGTATCTTCGTTCCCCGTGTAACTTGTTTCTCTTGTTCGAAAAACGGTACCGTGCATCACGAGGAAAATCTTAAAGGTGCTCGGGGTGCGACTCGAGTCATAGCAGCGTCAGAAATAGCCGTACCGCAGTGTCACAAAATGACGCGCAAGTAGTAGCAATAATAGGATGGCCTTGCACTTTGTTTTACAGGCCGGGCCTTCAAGCCGGGTTCCATTCTCGTCCGTTTAGGATAATTTGCGATCAAAATTTTATCGCTCGAACACCTTTAGCCCTTTTTCTATCTTCCGCTACGCTTTATGCCTGGTATTTTATGTACATGCGACATGATGCTGCTTCCGGCCATGTGGGTTGTTGGCGTTCGATGGACACGAAGTGTCGTCTAATAAAAGTACAATGACGTTTGCAGGGATCACGTGATGGCGCTGAAAATCATCAAGAACGTAGAGAAGTACAGGGAAGCCGCAAAGCTCGAAATAAACGCTTTAGAGAAAATTGCGACCAAGGATCCGGAAGGCCAACAGTCAGTATTTACGTGACTTTTTCGACGTGGCGGGGATCGAGATGGGGGCGAACAGAGACAGAGATTCCTCGTGTAAAAATAAAAGTTTGTTGTCCAAGTTTCGTTTTTCGAGAAAACGCGCGTCTGTGGATTTGTCATATGTACGGTTATTGACTATGGAGTCTGCGAAAATCGACATTTGACATTTAAATGCAGTCCGAACATTTGTACTGTTGTACGAGTGATGCAAATAGAATGTTTAGGTTCCCACTGCGTTATAGCACAGTTATCGTTTTATTAGCACATTCCGTGTCTTGAATCATCAGACTCCGGCGATAGTTATTGAAAGGTAGATTTCCAGGAGGTAGACAAAAATATTATTTTGCTGAGTAACGAAACCAAATACACCAGGTACAATCTAAGGAATTAAATGTAAAGAAAATTTATCAAGGTATTTTAATTGCTCAGCAATTGACGTTGTATTGGAATATAAAATTGTCACTTTTATGCTGTGGAGTATTTCCAAAAACTAAAATAGAAATCTTAGTTTATACCTATTCGAAGAATCACGATCTGTTCGCTCGCGTCACGCAGCACGTCTTACTGTGTACATTACATTTTTACGCAAGTCTGTCTCTCATATTCATTTAACGTGGTATTGTTAACTTCTAGCTTGTGCGTGAAAATGCTCGATTGGTTCAATTATCACGGACACATGTGCATTGCCTTCGAGATGCTTGGACTCAGCGTATTTGATTTCTTGGTACGTATTACATGTTATACTTAGACGGTGCATGTCTTAGACGTACGTAACTATTTTACATTTGCAGAGGGATAATAATTACCAGCCGTATCCGTTGGATCACGTCAGGCACATTGGATATCAATTGTGTTACGCCGTCAAATTCTTACATGACAACAAACTCACGCACACAGATTTGAAACCCGAAAATATATTGTTCGTAGATTCCGATTATGAAAGCATATATAATAGCAAAAAGGTAAGAAATAAATTAGTTTCTCCTATATGAATGTGATCTATTTAATGTGAGTGTCAGAACGAGTTAAAATTAATTAAAGTTTCGCATAAGTTCACACGAGCTCGATAGTCGTTATTAATAGAACAGACATTTATAAATAATACTCTATTAATATTCATGATTATAAGCGACACTCGCTCTATAGCAGTCAACTATGTTGGGTGTCCTATTATAGTCTTTCCACACGATTTTAAAAGATTATAATAGGACACCCAGTGAATAAAATATTTAGCCAAGGGTAGAATTCTGAAGTGTTCAAAAAGTTATTCCTTCTTTTTAAGAGGAGGGACATTAGGCGCGTAAAACGAACAGACATCAGACTCATCGATTTCGGTAGTGCTACGTTCGATCACGAACATCACAGCACGATCGTTAGCACAAGACATTACAGAGCGCCTGAAGTAATTTTAGGTAAGTAAACGTCAAATCGATTGTATTGTCTGTTGTGAAACGCGATTACCAGTTCGATGCAACGTCTGTGATTGTACAGAATTAGGATGGTCTCAACCTTGTGACGTATGGTCGATTGGCTGTATTCTCTTTGAATTGTACCTGGGTATTACCTTATTCCAAACACACGACAACCGCGAGCACTTAGCGATGATGGAGCGTATACTTGGCATAATTCCACATCGCATGGCCCGCAAGACTAAGACTAAGTACTTCTACCACGGTAAATTAGACTGGGATGAGAAAAGCTCAGCCGGCAGATATGTACGAGACAATTGTAAACCGTTACACGTAAGTATTAGTCATCCACACTTAATGTATAAATCAAAGCTTGTTATGAGTGTACAATACATTTTTCACGATACTAAGAGGCAAGATACGTGCTCTGTGTCCTTCGATGAGAAAGTTTTTTATTTGATTTCGCGCAATATTCAATACGTACTTTTATATCCATACAGCGTTGTATACTGTCAGATGACGAGGAACATCGACAATTATTTGATCTAATCCAAAAAATGTTGGAATACGAACCGACCCAGAGGATAACGTTGAAGGACGCGTTAACGCACCCCTTCTTTGAGGCGTTACCAGCGCATCAAAGATTGCCAGACCTCCGAGCGGCCGGCGAACCCCAACAGAGCCACGAACGATCGCACTCTCTCTCACGATGAAGCTAGGAAAGGGACCGACTTCCGTACTGGACAGACACTCCACTGTCGACGACGCTACTGCCGTATGTTGCTATTTTCGCATCCTTGAGTCTCATAAGACTATGTCATGTCGGCAACAACGTGATTCGATGACGTGAGCTGATACTTAAACAAATAGACGAAGCACAGGCGAAATTGAAGAATATTAGGGATGGATACATAATTGAATTCGATAGACTTGATAAATGGATCAGTCGATTAAATCGTATCAGTTAGATGATGATTAAAAGGATATGATACAAAAAATGAAAGCAGTAGTGCTCTGGTGTTGTGGAACTCGGACACGATATATAGATTAAATTATAATTGAGATCTTTGGAATGGAATACACGAAGTCGACGTTCTTATCGCTGTAAAGAATTTGTAGACAAGCGTATAATCTTTACGAAGTCCTTGTTACTGGCTCCTTTGAGGAAAGGTCCAGTGTGTCTGCTCAGTGTAGCGTAATAGAGTCCCGTCACTGTACACATTTTCTAAACACTCTTCTGTACATTTTATCCTTTAATTTTATTATGATGTTACATGCAACAAAGTTTGAAGTAAAGAAGAAAAGGGTCGCAGTTTATACTCTTGTTTGTTATAGATCGATGACCACGGCGTGTTTAATAGCAAGAATCAGAATTAGAGTTAAGAAACGAGTAAATATATGCGTACGTGTTGACCTTAATTAAGATTGATAAAAGGAGAAACTGAGAATGAGAGAGAGAGAGAGAGAGGGAGGGAGTGTATGAGTGAGAAAGTGTAGTAGACGCCAACTGATCGTCGTAAAATATAACATGTGTTTAGGTTTCATAAACGACAAAAGTACAGAATCAATTTATTTTAGACGATGCTAACGTACTTCTGTTTCGACACTCTTGATTTCACGATTGAAACCGATACGAGGTTTCTTTTATCTTAATTCGATGTATAAATGAATTTCATTGCATTGTCTTAATCATGTTACAGACAATCATGTGTGTTTTTAATTTCATTTAAACCAACGACAAAGCTGTTTGGAAAGATGATACGCACCGGATTACTGTTTCCCAGATGTTTTTTGCGTGCATCGTATATGTTTTAAAAGCAGTACGAGCTTACCTAAATAAAGAACGCCTCTGCTTTTATTCTGTTCGATAGAGGAATAAATTGTCGAGCGAAGCTCTTACCACTCACATATGTTTTGTTTGTCTCTTTTTGGTTCTTACACACACGACATGGAAATTTACATTCTGCTGCTCGTACAAACAAAACGAGAAACGTGTCTAAATAATACAAAAGAAGAATGCTGTCTCGAGTAGCAATAAACAAATTTCTTTGAAAGAGTCGTTTGAAATTTTTTATTCATCCAGCCAGTAAGTTTTAATTCCAAAAATTCAAAATTGGAACATCTTTGATACATTTATACAATAATTAATTTGTTCGCGACACGATCTATTCTGTGCTTGAAATATTCTGTGTATATACACTCATACATTTGCTCATACACATACACGCAAGTTAAACAACATAAACAGTTGTAATATACGAACCTGTTCAACAGGCACTTAAAATACCATACCAGATAAAAAATAAAATAATTGTTATATTCAGATTTCATCGGATGCGTTAAATAATGACAGTCAGATTATAATTTAGGCCAGGAGTATACCGGTGGTACCGATGGTTCGTAACTCGGATCGTACAGCTGCGCTTTGACAAATTCATAAATGTCTTTGGGCTTAGGATGAACCGTTGCGAGACCTGTAAACAAATTATTCATTTAATATGTTTAACAATAATTCCTAGCATGTAACACGTTTCCATAAAAAAGAAGCTTCACTTACAATTATCGTAGCCGTACTTCATAACTGCGACAGCTATGCACACCGAACATTTCTGAATATCTTTGAGTGGAGGATATAAAGTGCCTCTTTCTAAGTCTTCTTTAGAGACCATGTCGGACAACGATTGGGCAGCGACGAGGAATACTTCTTCAGGTATCGTGCGCATGCCGCAACATATCACGCCCAATGCGACACCGGGGAAAATGTAGCTATTATTTCCTTGGCCAGGATAATGAGTTTTTCCTTCGTACTCGAAAGGTGGGAACGGCGATCCACTAGCAAACACGCACTTCCCCTAGAATTGTTTTAAATTAAATAACTAAGTTTGCTTTTTATTAATAACATTGAAAAAAATTCTATACGATGATACCTTAGTAACGGTGTAGGCTTGTTCAGCGGTACACTCTGCTTTGCTTGTTGGATTACTCAGAGCAAAGATCACAGGTTTTTCGTTGTTGTTCGCCATTTCTTCCAATATCTCGGTGGTAAAAGCACCGCCGACTGCCGAGGCGCCGATCAGCACTGTTGGCTTCGCGATTTTTATCACTTCTAATAATGTATCTACTGGTTTGTGGTCCCGCGCGAATTCCAATTTATGCACCGTCAGACCACCGGACGGACGATCCTTCACGATCAGACCTTTTGAATCGAGCATCCAGATCTTCTCTCTAGCGTCTTCTTCGCAAATGCCTTCTTGTTTCATTGCCATAACGCACAGATTAGCGATACCCAATGAAGCCTCTCCAGCGCCCAGGAAACAGATCGTGTTGTCCGACAGCTTCGTATTGGTAATACGAAGAGATTCCAGTAAACCGGCGACAGCAACAGAAGCAGTTCCTTGGATGTCATCGTTGAAGGTACAATAATGATCACGATATTTGATAAGCAGTTTGAATGCGTTCGCGTTTGCAAAATCTTCGAACTGGATCAAAGTGTTCTGCCCGTATCTCTTGACAGCGGCTTTCATGAATTCGTCTATAAACTCATCGTACTCTGGACCGGTGACACGTTTATGCCTATGACCAATGTAGAGAGGATCTTCCAGCAGAGTCTAAAACAAAAATAATAATTAATTAGTTTACCAATAAATTTTGAAATTAATAATTACTGCATAGGCGATTATTTAGAAATGTTTCGTACCTTAGTGTTTGTTCCAACATCTAAGGTAATTGGCAGACACTGGTGAGGTTTGATTCCTGCCAGAGCAGTGTACAAAGACAATTTTCCAACCGGTATCCCCATTCCATAAGCGCCCAAGTCGCCTAGACCAAGTATTCTTTCGCCATCGGTAACGACTATGGCTCGTACATCATGTTCAGGCCAATTTTTCAAAACGTCGTAGACGTGGCCCTTGTCGTGTATGCTTATGAACAAACCGCGCGGTCTTCGATAAATAAGGCCGAATTTCTGACACGCTAGACCCACCGTGGGCGTGTAAACTAAAGGCAGCATCTTCTCTACATTTTCTGCCATAAAACGGTAGAAAAGCTTCTCGTTCCTATCCTGTAGTTTAATTTAATTTATTAATTTAGCACGAAATGCTAAAAAAAAATATTTAAATAAACAATTCATACGTACTAGCAGGCCTATGAGGTAGATGTACTTCGACAGATCGTCTTCATAACGTTCTAGATTCAAACGACAGAGTTCTAGTTGTTCTTCTTGAGTTTTTACAGCTGCTGGCAATAAACCATGAATGCCCAATGATTGCCTCTCTTCGATGCTAAATGCCATCCCCTGAAATAAAATTGCGTTTTTATAAGTAGGAATATGTATATAAAATAGAATTTAGTTTGTAATAATATATTTTTATAGCTTGACCTCAACACAAATCAGTTTTATTACTTTTTAAAATGAATAGGCAAATTCCTGTTCATAGAGCGAACGTAAGCGAAAAGCGATAAGCTCGCTTTACGATTTACACTATAAATCAAATCTTTCTAAACCGAAGTATTTAAAACTTGGATATCAATTATTCGGAACAGTTAATCCGTACAGTTTATTAATAATATGTATCAACTAGTGAGGATTATTTCGCTGGATGATTAATTAAATTCAATCTTGTTATGACAAATGATCAGGCAACAGATAATGTGTGTCTCCGTTAGACATTATTATATAAATGTGTACTATTGATTTTTGTTTAGCGAACCCTGCCTAACGTCGCTATAATACGTATAGTACGTTCTATAAAACTAAATTGTATGCCATTGTGTCTGCAAATAATTCGTTGAAATAATTCATAACGATTGACCTATGATTCAATGCCATTCACGTTTTCGATAGACTAGAGTAATGAAACAATTATTAATTATTAGAAAGATGATAATACATTCATGATAAGTAATGGCAATTACATAAGTCGAAACATACTATTACGTCATGAAACATCCGGTAAATGTTATCTAAATGAAACTGTATTAATGATTCAGTATTTCTCCTTTCGACTTATTACATCAAAATTCTACCTCTCACTTTTCCGTAACGTATCAGAAATATTTAACATCTTTAATAAATTGATACATTAATTGCATTTCTTCGACTCTACCACGAAGAATTAACGTCGTACGCATTTATAATACAATCTGTTTAATTAAAGTACTTGACACCATTGATTAAAGGTTTGAAAACAAGTCTGTGTCGTTTCCTCTTTGTGACGAATGCGACTGGTGAACACTTCATGCGTCGTCGCCTGTTGTCAGCAATTATCGATTATTCAGCTCTGAGAAACGTTTTAAAAATGCATCAACATTTTTGATGCGAGAAGCGACGTTGGAAATATGCCGCAATTCTGCATAATAGGAAAGACTTTGCACCTTGTGTACGTATATGCATTTTCGTAATACGCAAATGTCTTCAGCGAACATTATTATAGTATGTTCAGTCGACCTCTCGGACCTCATTATTTATTTAAAAGTCTGAGCAATACTAAAGGTAATATTTTGTATCAGTAAAAACGCACATAGAAGGAAAACTGGTACTTTCTAAAGTATTGTTAAAAGCTGTTATTTATTCAGAATACTTAAGATAAAACGTGTACATTGTTATTAATATAATTATTTGTTATTCTTTCTTTGCATCAAACAAGATACGACTTAAAAAAAGAATTTTATCGTCATAGAAAGTTTCTTGTAGCGAATAATTTTAGAAAAGACTTCAGTATACGTGTGTATCTTTTCGGAGGCGAGACTAACTGGAGAGCGGCAGGGTCAAAGCACTCTATACAAGTATTTTTCCACCAGCAGCGAGTCTGGGGTCGTTGACAATGCTACGAACTGGTTAAACCAATCGCCACCGACGTCAATTGACTTATAAATTATAATAGAAATCGGGGAATGAATAAACTGTCTCTTCTTCGTTACCTCTTTAAAATAAATAATAGAGAAATGAATAGATAATAGATAATCGTAAACTATGTTCTATAACGACGACGTTCTTTATATAGAACTGTTTGTTTTTCAATCTTTAACTCTCCCTCACAAGATATAAATAAATGTTTTAAAAAATAAATTTGTTTCGCCACATCAAGTCAAATAATTACTTTACGATTGCACTTTATCTGCAATGCAATAAACGAACCACTCTTGAAATTTCTATAAACGAAGCGACTTTTCATTTTCCTCGTTGTAATAATTGAAAATTAATCGCGCCCGAAAATACCTTCGTTTCGCAATACGATTATGCACGAGGTACAAGACTGTTAAGGCGTACGAAAGTGACTTTCGCTGCTGAAAATTAATTGTGTATGACCCAACTCGAGTACTATCACTCGCAATTTCTTATCTTATCGCACATGCTTTTGAATCATACGACAAGTAATAATTCGACACATAGAAATTTGTGACACATATCTCTTTAGATATTTCTGGATTGATTAAAGAAAAAGATGCAAAAAAAAGTTTTAATTAGCAACTCATGAATCATTTTAAATATAAGAGGAACGGTATTCACATAGTATTCGCCACGTGAAGACGTAGTTACTTTCCCTGGCACTCACACATTAAATTAAATTACTACGTTCGCGTTATAAAAGAATGATTTGCATGCACAATTACATATATTTCTACGTGCGTTATCGATTCGGAGTGAGAATTATATAGTCAAGGAAATTGTGAAAGCTGGCAAAGAACAACGTTTCAGATAGAATGCTACGTAAAATGTGTAATTTTATTTAACAAGGCAATGGCAACTTAAAATTAAATAAATCAATCAAATGGCTGATGATATAAGCAAGAATCTATCAGGGACATTTTCACTAATAAAAAATTGAACGAACTGAAAAAACGAACGAAACTGGTACAGTCAGTATTTAAATATTTAATAATTCTGTAGGTCACGAATACCCTTCCGTCCAAAGCGAGCAGAGGCTCGGGGATACGGGCAGTTCTATAAAAGTCAGGCACCAGGTCCCACCAATCCGTATCCATTGTTCTTGCTAGTTCTCCACAAAATTCTTGAGACTCCCATAACAAACAGCCTGCGGTAGAGACCGTTGCCATGAGTTGTACCGGCTAACAGGCGATCGATACGAGACCCTAGGAGCCGGTGGTCACAGAACAAGTCACGACCTACTGCAAGACTCTTACCCATAACCCTTTCGAAACGGGTCTTTGCGTATCGCGCGTAATCTGGCTGCGCCCTCGGATAAAATGCATTGATTTATTTTTGCCAACCTTTTTATAGTAAATTCACTATTCATTTAAGATTGTTAAATGATCGTGTAACAAACGATATATCAAATTCTTATTAACAGGAAGACTTGGGAATCATAGATTTGAATCTATGGTAATCTAACGTAAAGATATACAATATTAAGAAGTACGGATTTATATAAATCAGAGTGGAATTCCTAGATAGAATTGTAATATATGCAGAATAATGATTGGTTCCAATTACTACGATTAGAAAGTATCAATGATACATATTAACGATAGGTGAACGTGAACTCGCTCACGTATCACCTTTTGGTCTTTAGCCTACGAAATACTAGCTAGAACTACTTCCAGTGGAACTACTCCTGCCTTTTTTTATGACTCATTTCTTCCGTCAATCTCGTTTGACCCACAAATTGAAGTATAGTGCACAGCCTGCATCCCGTTACTTTTCAAATTAAAACTCATCATGTTTCATCATACAGAATTGTATTAGACAACTGATGATTGTTTAAATTTGATACTGCGATATTACAAGTTTCGACATTAACGTTGAGAAGGAAACATTTAATTTAGAACAATGCGAGTTCTGTTCGGAAACTTGTTCGGAATAAGGAGAACTGTTTCGTTGAAGACGTTAAAGGAAGCACGTTGACCGCAGAAATTCCGAGTAAACTTTGTAATCAAGGTGTTCGGACATGTAACATTCAATGACTAAACTGCGTAGTCATCGAGAAAATATTATTTTTACGATCAGTTCATTGCTGAATTACTGGTTCGTAAAATATGCAAATGTTTGATGTTTTTCAGATGTTTAAACTCGGCTAATGAATTCATAGATAACTAAAAATTATGCGCATACTTTAAACTTCGATTTTAAATTGTATAATAATAAATACTTATGTGTTTTTTTTATTTTCTTCCGTCATATTCTTATTAGTTGTACGTAGAGAAAATTCCATAATGCGAACACATTTTACAGATGTTTAAAAAGCCTACGATAAAGATAATAATTGTTATCTACGCTTAACCGAAACATGAACTGAAACTGAAATCCTCACAGTCATACCACCGGCTGTTTCATACCGTCAGTTTATGGGCTGTGAAAGTGAATTTCATCGGACCGTGATGCGCCTACGTGACCCACTAGACGTAAACGCGTAATTACGTATCTTCAAGCAAAAAATGTCTCTCGAGTTTCCCACACTTTCATTGTAAATTAAGGCAAGGTTGATTATTACAACCACGATTTTTGTACCTCATATTTCTGTTTCCAATTTGAATACGTTTCTCATAAGTCGTTGTTTTACATTCGTTGACGATAGCAGAGAATAATTACGACTTTGCATTGATGACACTGATTAAAATAATCAGTTAATCCAGTCATTTAATATGCGATGTCAAAGGAAATAACGGAGCTCTAGGGGGCATGCGTAATAAGTCAAAAATATATTGCTCGATTTGAATGAAAGAATTCATTCATAGTTCAACGACTACTAAGGATTAAATACGTTTATTTTATTTATCAGTCGATTATATTCAATACGTAAATTCCGTGCTGCGAAATAAATTATGGTTGTTTAATTTACGAGTTATTTTCACGGACGCGGTCGTAGGAAAGTTACCGGTTCAATATCCACACGCGTGAGCCTTGGATACCGAACTAATAAACAATAAGAGGTGGCTTAAAGCACCATAGTTAATCATAGTCTGCACATGTAATACATATTTTTATATCACAATGCGATATATTTAACGGAATACAAGATTAATGATGATAATGATGTTTTTTAAAATCATGCCTATAATCGAAGACGAGTTACGTCAGTCGAACTGTCATCGAATCAGCCGGCGTCTACTTTCGCAGCGATTATCATGCATTAAATTACGAGCGTACCTTGTTAAATCGTGGATCCTTTAGGTGATCCAGGCCTCGAAGCAAATTTGGGGAGACGCCATCGCCGTGTCCTCGTTGACCGAGTCGATCCCTTTGAAGGTCTGACATGGTGGATGATTTGCGGTCGCAGTCTATCTGAGTACTGCCTCGGGTGCTGCAAACGACCAGCCGATTTTAAGGATTGAGGAGAGACGTCGGTACTACAGAAAACAGTAGAGCGCCGAGGAGAGGTAGGGTTAAAAGAGGGGAACAGTGCGCAGCCACGTATCAAATATATGGGTTAATATACCCGAATTCGTCGCGGCTCTTTTATCTCCTCCCACGAATCAAATTCGCAAATCTTACTCCCTAAAAATCAACGACTGTTTACAGCAGCAGGCAGATAATTTTTTATGAAGGCAGCTTATCGCGGTGGAGACCCAATGATTGACACGAGGAAGTTTTTTTCATGATAAACTCTTGATTGATCCGAAAAGAATACTCGATCTGATAATTAGCACATTTTTTCATGAAACTTATCATCAATTTAATTAGATTGTAAGTTCCTGTATGTGCGATGTACACACTTACTACGTCAGTGAGAATATTCGTAAGGTTGGGGATTAGCGCAGGCGTGCGCATCGCGCAGTCGCGTGTCTGCGCCCATTAAATGACATTTGTTTTAACATTTGACCATGAACAGTGCCTTATACATGTCATAGACAATGTACTATATATAATTGTTTCGACTTATTTGTACTATTGTACTACGTCGCGCACGCCATAGCAATTAGATCGAATGCGATAAAAATCTATTAGCAATATTTTGTATTAAAATGAAGCCCCTCCTTATTCGCTCTTTCTCTCTGGCTCTATCGGTTTAAAATAAATCGATGACGTTACAAAGACGATAGTTAGCAAGTTTCTTAACTTATCGGAGGAATTACAACTGTTGTAATAGATTTAATCATTTTGTCCTCGATTATGTTTAGTGCGCAACAGTCTATCCTAGCATTGCAATTTCCAAGCCGTACACACTAACGGAAGCGTGATGTTACACAATTTTTTCCGACTATTACAACGATCACGATTTTATGATGGAATACGAAGCTCGCAGTTTCCTCATTTTCATAGAATTATGAAAGAATAATGAAATTTACTAATCCAAAAATCTATTTAAATTAAACGAATGTGTCCACACTCTTTTCAGTGATCACGTTTCTGCGAAATACATAGAGTAAATTGTGCACAAATTAACGAGCTTGTAAGTTGTGACTATTGTCTGATACACAGGAACTCCAGGTTTTTATCCTTTTTCGAGAATTCGATATAAATTCTAAATTATTGTATCACCTGTCGTTCAGTTGATCGTACTCCCTGCCGTCGTGTTCAGGGTTCGTCTTAGCGTAACGTAAATTACTCGTTTGACGGAAAAACCTAGCCAAGTGATGGTCCAACCGTCTGAGGAAACGATTCGAGGACATACTCGCGGCTTCCGTATAAATCGGCTCTCGTACGATCAGACATCTCTCGTTAAACTGATATATTCAATGTTAAGAATGGGGTTAAACCGCGTAACTACTCGTATGACCGTCACGTCATGCTGATAAGTTAGTAGTAATGCCTCACGTGATCATCAGGCGTGCATTAAAAATACGAAATTTTTATCTTTAAAAATATTTATCTTAAAAGCTCCTTTCTGCTCACTTAAATTCGCTTGTTGTAATTACGAAAAAAGCTAAATTGTTGAAGTATTTTTATACCACAGTAAGTTGATGTTACGAACCAAACGAAACTTGGTTGATTACTGCAGGCAGGTAATTTGTACATTTCATAAAAATAATTTGAATTTCTTTCTAATGTCGAGGATGCATATCTTAAATAAGAAAAGCAGTAGGGTAGATATATATAATAATTATTATATTTTTTGTGAGCCGAGTTGGCTAGAATTAGATTGAAACTTTTTTGCAAGTCGTACGATTATACGGATCATAGGTCAGTAACCCGTTACCGCATAATTTGACACTTGAATACACGTGGGGTTGGACATTACAAATTGGAGTTTATAAAAGATACAAATAAATAATAAATAATTTATAGTACATATATAGAATTTTTCTACTAAACTCCAGGCAGCTTGACTATTTTGCTAGTTCTAGTGTTAATTACATCGCGTTTTTTAAAGATATAACAACTGCAAAAAATAGAGAAACACTACTTTTTACTATATCGAGCAAAATGTGGAGGCTATCTAATTAAGGTCAAGTCTGTTTTACTTTTTTTCTGAGTAACGTAATTGCTCCTATCTTTTGATATGGGAGAACTATACAAATCGCGTGATAAAAAAAAAAAGATGCATATGTTGCATTCAAATTGAGCATGATCAGCATATAAATATACAGTCTCTGTTTCACGCGACAGATTAAAGCGTGATAAAACGGCATACCACAGAAAAATATTATCGCTCTCAGTTCTATTACACTAGTAGTAATCATCGTGTGAAATGAAGGCAAGAAACAGCGGCTTTAGTCATATTTTCTGTTTTTAGATTTACTTATTAGAAAGCATTCATAAAAAATCTATTAACCAGAAAGTAGATGGATGAGTTTAAAGTATAAGAAGCGTGTTTAATTTCGCTATGTTCTTAAATATATAAACGCGAAATGTTGTATCTTTGTTTTGTCGCAAATATCAAGTGGAACGTTTGTACTATCGTATTTTTACGAGCCATTGAATGGCGGCATGAAAACATGTCGAATGTTACTCATTTGTAGAATAATCGAAGTACATGCAACTAAAAGTAAATGCATCTGTCTCTCAGATCGTCGGATGATTTTTTATGAAGCGTAGGAATATTGCGACATTATCAGATATATTATATATATTCCCTGACACCTAATATATACTTTGTCAAACAAATCTTAGCAATTTGCATCGTCAAATAGATGCGACATAAATGTAGAAATGTCATCATATCATCAGCACTTACATCGCCTTTGCAGAACGCGTTCCGTTAAAACGCAGATCCTTGGAATTCGGGTTTCCCATCGGTGATTATTTAATAGCGCAATTCAACAAAAATGACTGTCCATGATTTCTCGACGGTCCAAAATAAGAAAAAACTTTTCGCGTAATGACACAACAACGGTGTTCCTTTCGAAACTACGTACTTTCGTTTAGTGAAATCGAGCCTTCCGATCACGAGCAGATCGCAAACATGACTGACGTGCACGCGAAGGAGTTAGAGAACATGTACTCGCTCATTTATTGTTACTTAGTCATTCTAGAAATCGGCCTTAAAACCGTTTTTTCAAATCAGGAATTCAGGATTCAAGGAAAAATGTCAAGTCTATAAAAAGTGGACACCCACTTAATGCCTTCGATGCATTCCTATATCCTTTTCAATTAAAATAGCGGAAAATCGCTCGTATCGCGCGATAAATACATATTAAAAATAATTGTATGATTTATAAATTGCTTTACTTATCTGACTGTATTATTAGTTAGAGGTTGTGTACTCACTCTGACGGAGATGTTTTCATATTATCCATACATATTGCAAATTCAGGACAAACGGACCTGCGATTAATTTCATTATTACTTATACTTGTATCACATATAATGCAATTACTGAATGACCTACTTGAAACACTCCATCCTCAAAGATGTTACAATTTTACACAAATGCCTTAAACTATACATTCATTGATAGATGTCAAAATCTTACGTGTACATAAATTTTTAATAATTTATTTCATAAGACACTTTGTAACGTGAAATGATACATCACTTAGAAGCATTTTACTTATAGTTTTGCTTAGTAGGGGCAATTAGAATTTTAAATGTATTTTATAAATCATGTCTAATTTCCCGAAAAGAACAAACAAATAAGCGAATCTAAAGCGATATGTTTTTTTTTTTATATAGGAAATATGAATAATTGGAGCGTGCGCATTTATATCGTGTTTAATTTAATTTGTTTGCTTTAACTCGACTGAGAAAATAAAACGGAATTATTATCGCCTGTACAAAATTAAATTGCAAAGAATTTGCACTTTCACTATTATAACTGATTACTTCTTAATGAAAGAACCTAACAAGGGAATACAGTGAAAGTTATCTGCACGTAACACTTTGATTACAGTATAAACATTAATTCTTCATTCTCGTTTATTTTTCTGGCTGCATTATTTAAGAAAGAACGTATACGATATAAAAGTTACTGTTTATACAATTGAAATGTTGTCGCAAACTATATAAATAGCTAACTCTTCTGATATTATTGTTTTACAAGACTAAAGACTAAACTAATGTTATCTGTGACTGGAGTTTGCACTACATGTTGTTTAATAAATATGAAAGAGAGTTTGTTAAATTCTTTTGTAATTAGATGTTGATGATGAACTATGTACCACGCCGTTCAGAATACAAAGTCAATCAATTAGGTCGTAGTTCAATGTAATATTAACAAGATCGTCTGCAGAATGCTGCGCGTAAATACTATTATTTTTAAAATCGATCCATGAGTCAATGAAATGATTTCAAACATGAGAATAATACAGGACTAAATAGATTATTTATAAACTCTAACATGGAAAGGAATATTAAATGAAATTAACACATTATTGTGTAATTTGTTTAATAATTAGGTAATTTTTTATATTTTCGCATGTATATTAATATTTTGTTAATTTTAATGAGATGAATTATATGATCATTATGTTAAAAACCCATTGTTACCAAGGCTCGTTGGTCTAGGGGTATGATTCTCGCTTCGGGTGCGAGAGGTCCCGGGTTCAAATCCCGGACGAGCCCGTGGAAATTAATTTTTGCTGCCCTTTACATATCAATATTCTTAATTTTCTTTAGATATATCTACATAATATCTATCAACGTTAAAGTATTTTTTTACACTTGCGGTGAAGTGTTTTTCAAGCTGCGTTATCGATTATCCCGTAGACTCGTAGACTGTGACGTAGTTGTAAAGCTGTCGAAAACGTTGGAAAACGTCAAACATGGCCCTCGCTTGGAATGAGTCAAAGAAACACAGTGATCGCGAAAGGCATGTATATTTAAGCTTTAAAATAGTTATTGTATTGTTGTGTAGTTAGTTATTTAAGGAAGCATTGAAGTAACTCGTTGTTTGTAGCAGATTTTATTCAAAATACGAAAGTAGAAGTACCATCTGTCGTTATAACCTCTTAATGTAAAACACGATGTTTATTTCAGATGGATTTGCATTTATCCTGTTTATATAAATAGCAAAAGGACCTTAGCTAAAGGTCGCAAAATTGCGAAAGAAAAATGTGTAGAAAATCCAACGCATCAAGAGATTCGTGACGTTCTAGTGGCAGTTGGGTTCAACGTTGGCGTCGAGAGCAAACTGCATCCACGGGAACGTAGCAAAGAGCTGTTATATCGTGGACGTATTCGTGTGCAATTGAAAAACGATGATGGCACTCCTGTGAAACCTGAGTTTCCTACCAGAGATTCTGTTCTGGCATATGTAGGCACGACCATTCCAAAATTGAAAAGTCGTCAAGGAAAACAATCGACTGGCGAACAATCCTCTCAGCCATCAAGTTCATCGACAAAGAAAGGAAAAGGAAAAGGAAGGAGGTGATAAAACTAAATAAATCGTACTAGATATTGCAAATATTTTTCACTTAAGACAGTGTACAAAAAGATAATACATCTTACACAAACCTGATTAATAGGTTTAAGTTGAATGTTGCTTACTTATACATTCAAATATTTAATACAGTTCTTAAATACCTGATATCATCGTACTTGGTTGTATATTCTTCTGATATTTAGAAATGTGTTATATTCTTTTTTAATTGTTGACAAATCATTCTATTCGTCACTGTCATATCCGTCTTGTTCCTCTCCTATCGATTCATCTTCATTTGTGGAACTCTCTACATTTTCCTCTGGGTTCAAATTATCATTTATACAAGTAGGAGATTGTTGAGTACTAACAACTTCAGCTGGTGGTTCATTGTGAGGCACATATTTTACAATATATCCAGTAGGTTGAGGGTGAGATGATACAAAATGAGGGTACGTTGTATGTAATGATGGAGCCTATTAATTTTGAATATGTTCATGAAATTTAACACATATAGTAATTGTAATAGAATAATACGTACATTATTTCGAAAATTTTTTGGAGGCAATCCCACAATAGGCGGATATATTGAATTCTTCCTTGGGACAGATCGTTGCAACGCCTAAAAGGATTACAAATGATACTAAAAATGATAAAATTTTATAAATGACATACATAATTACAAATTTGTAATATTACTTTTCGAAGTTGTGTCCGCGCACGCATTAAACTAACTATTGGCTCAGTGGCTGTCTTCATTAAATTACCAGGAATCTTATGTAGAGCATTGACATGTGGGTGTAAATTAGGATGCAATATAGAAGTTAATAACTCGTTTCCCAGCGTATGTGGCATCTGACTCAACATGTCTATTGTTGGTTTTAAAATCGCACCTACTATGTTATCATCAGCATGTGTAGGTTCAGCTCCTACTTGTGGAGCGCCAATAACGGGATCAGACTTTGTAATCGAGCTGTTCTCGGGTAAATCAGTATTATCCCGCTTTTTATTGTCATTTATAGAACTTGTATCATTCTCGCTATCGTTTCTTTCACAGTTTCTTTCTCTCACGAAATGAGCGTGACCTTTTTGTGGGCCGCCAGTTAGAAAGTAATTTGCAACTTGATGAGCATCACCTGAGTCGAACGAAAGTTCAACAAAATATTAGATCAGAAAATGTTAACTTAATTTGTATCGAAATTAGATTTTAATTTTACCAACTCTGAGATGTCGACGTGATCCTGCTACGCCACGTGCATTACGAATTAGCTCGACCTGTTCTGTAGGAATTATTCATTTCTTATTTGTCTTTTAGACTATAATATGATAGCTCAAATCTGATAGTTTAAGGATGCCAATATTTAATGTCTTGCTCTAAATTCGTGTTACCTTCGTCGTCAATGTATGCGTCAGGGAATTTCAGATCTATTGAAGTAATCGGTTTTAGTCCATCGTATTTAGCACAAAAAACGTATTTGTATATCACGATATAATACAGAACAAAAATTAAAGATATTAGCCGATGTCGTCTCATCTTGAACTTATTCAACGAAACGCGAACGTTCTACTGGAGACTGTCGTAATACCAACGAAAATTTATTGATTTTGGATCTGAGAATCTGCTGACAGTTTATGAACAGTTCGGTTTATTTACAAAACTATAAAGAATATTGTCATTCATATGCATTACGTCAGAATTTCCGGAGAACAGTCGGGACAGTTTAATGAAACAATACAGACATTTCAATCGGTTTCAGAAATGTATTATTATTTATTGTTAAATATTATAGTAAAAGTTTACAAAGGCTGTTGCATCATATTACACAATGAAAAAAGGAGGATACACTGTTGGTAAGAATTAATAATTCGTGTTTTATGTCTCATGAGATATAAAGAAAAAATATTAAAAATAAATCCTTCCCGTGACAATATTTCGTGAATATTGCCGTGACCAGGATTCGAACCTGGGTTACTACGGCCACAACGTAGGGTCCTAACCACTAGACGATCACGGCTATTGAAGGTCTTGAACGAAGCATTTATTATCTCATATACCAGTTACACATATGTTGTGTTGTACATACTTATTTATAATAAAATATCCTTCAAATATAAATGGAATATTATTTTAGTACGATTTTCATATGGAATAATTTGCGATTTATATTTATTGTATCTACCAAGCTAACGATATTGCCTGCGTTTGTCCACAGATGGCGCTAGATGGTACTCGGAGCGTCCATTACTCGGCCGGACCGGAGCGGAGAAGTACGTGCTCCTTGTGTTTCCTAGTTTCCTAATAGTGTCCGGCTTTTGGCGACCACCGTTGCTACTGCGGCGTGGTGTCGTGTTACGTATTTAATTCGTAAAGAGAAAAGTGTGTAAATTCAAACTGTGCGTGATTTTCGATGCAGTGGGACGAAGGACGATGGGACAAGGACAACCGTGAATGACCTCGCAACGGCGCGACGCATTAAGCACAGGTACGCAGTTGCACATTCGAATTTATTATAAGCATATAAAAATTCATCGATGATTTAACGAAAAGAGACAATAACACTGTCAATTTAATTGAAAGATCTATATGTATAGTTTAAGTTGACTATAAATATAATTCTGTGGCTGTATTCTCATGCTACGTCGTACGCAGGGGGATGACGCGTGTGAAATCTTCCCCGTGCATTCTTAGAAATCAGTTATTGTATTTCCTCCCTCGGGATCGATCGTAACCGTGTTAAAATAGCATTATTACTGACACGTGGAAATAGATTTTGTTATAAATAATCGCGACTGACACATCGTACATTGTACGTTCTACAAGCGAGACAGATTTTACGAGCGTCGTATTTTCTTAAATGAGTTCGAGATGTTGTACGATAATTTCTGCTTTCCTCTGAGATATTTCGTCCGTCGGATAATCACTCGGGAAATTGTTCTGTTCTGCTTACCTATCTATCTCTTATATAGTCGCATTACTAAAATTCGACTAACGCGAATTCGCGGTGAGAAACGCGAGTTTCTTAACGCGGCACAAGAAATGAATTGAAGATGACTTAATATCGTTACTGAAATGCTGCCGGTAATTTCTGACTGTATTGATGCAGTTACCGCGTGCCGTGCATAACTTTACTTAACGATGTTTCCGATATAATTAATGCATAAAACAAGGTTTGTCAATGAGTATGGCCAGGTCTACGATATTATCGTTGGTAAATCAGTTTTTATTAATTTATTTAACATTTACTTTTTACATTTAATACTTAACAATAAGATTATTACTATTTTATACTCATTCTATACGTTTCAGACTTACATGCAAATCTAGATTAATTCTGTACCTATACAAGTTGCTTAATTTGTATTGTACAGTTTGTTCTTTACATTACAAGTCTGTTTTCTTTTATCAAGCGTCTACGCAATTTTCGCTTACTTAAATTAACTCCATTCGTACTCTTATTCATTTAATCATTGTATTTGTCATAATCACTTAAGAGTAGGTTTTTCCATAATCTTTATCCATTTATCTACGTATTTTGTACATTCTGTCATATTTTTATGGTCAATGTGACACACCTAATATTAGAAAATAAATATGAGCAGTTATTATCGTTTATAAAATCTGCGACCGTGAAATAAGAATTCTTACCCGTTTAGCGAATCGTGTCTTCAACCTCTGGTCTTGAAACATCATTTTCTCACCTATTCTAAGGTTTTTAAACGTTTTCACGCGCAGAGGTCCAAACTTTGTTTGAAACTTCTTCACGTCCCAATCGTACATGCTTTCAAGGTTCTGAATTTTCCCATGAATTTTACGTTGCCGTTCCCCCAATCTGTCTACCATCCTCGTGAATTTTCTCATGTCCTTGTAACTGCGACTATAGTTGTTTCTCATCTTTAATCTAATTAGTTCTCTTATCTGCACACATTACACCAGTCAATAGATTATGTTTATACCAA